AAGGATAGAACCCTGAGGTACCCCGAAAGTAAGAGTAGAGGAGTTAGAAGTAGAATTATTGAGAACAACAGAAGAAAAACGATTACAGAGATAAGAAGAAAACCAAGACAGACAAGAATCAGTAATATTAAAAAAAAGATGCAGCACTCTCAAGAGAATAGTATGGTCAACAGTATCAAAAGCTGAGGAAAAGTCAAGAGCAAGAAGAAGAGTAAGATTACTATTGTCACTAGAGAGAAGGATATCATTGTGTATTTTAAGTAAAGAAGTTTCAGAACTGTGAGCAGGTCTGAAACCAGATTGAGATACAGGTAGCAAAGAGTTAAAGTCTAAATAGGATGACAGTTGATTAAAAACAACTTTTTCTATTATTTTAGAGATGAAAGTAATATTAGTTACAGGTCTATAATTAGATAAAGAGGTAGGATCTAGGGATGAGTTTTCAAGAATAGGAATAACAATAGAATTCTTATAAGAATTAGATGTTCTTAAAGAAGTAATTTTATTTACAAAAAAGTCATGACACTGTTGAGCTGAAAAAGATGAGTGAGAAGATTTTTTATGTAGAAGTTTAGATAGAACAGACCACCTATTTTTAGATGTTGAAGCAGATGTTATAGAATTTCTAAGTAAAGTAGAGTGTTTAGAGAATAGTAGATATTTATAATTAATCAATTCAGATTCATAGATAGAATAAAGAGAGTTAGATGGATTTAACCTATAGGCTTTCTCCAGTCTTCTAAGACTTTTCTTGGCTACTACACAAGCATAATCAAACCAAGGAGCCTTACGAGAATAGAGCCTATAAGTAAAAGATTTAAGAGGAATAAGCTTATCAAGAATAGAAGTAATGTAGATATTAAAAGCACAGACAAAATCATCAACATCAGAAAATAAGGTAGTATCAAAAATAGTTTCAGTAAGAGATTGAAGAAAAATATCTTTATTAAGAGATGACAAGCATCTTTTAGAAATAGACATAGATGAATTTGAAGGAAGAAAATCTAATGAAAAAACAGATTCAATAAGAAGGTGATCAGAATAAGGAACAGAGCTAGCAGAGATATTAATAGGCTTAGAAAAAGATGAAGCTATAATAAAATCAATAGTGTTACCAGAAGTATGGGTAGGAAAAGAACAATATTGAGTTAAGTTAAAAAGAGACAAAATATCATTAAATCTACAAGTGTAAGAACATAATAAATTATTGAAGGGCAAGTTGAAATCACCAGAGATGTAGAAAGGAATAGAAAAAGAGTAGAGAGATTCAGCGAGTGAGTAGAATTCATCTAAAAACAAAGTGAGAGAAGAAGAAGGAGGGTGATAGATTACAGCAATATAAAAAGATAGAGAAGAAGACTTAAGAGATACAGCAAGACATTCAAAAGAAGAAAAATGAAAGGAAATATTAATGGAAGCAGTAAATAGAGATTTATAAAACAGACAGATACCCCCATAAGAAGAATGAGAAGATGATAGAAGATTTTTTGGAGGTTTAGAGAGTTAAAGGAAGCTGTAACCATCAGGAGTAGCAAGAATAAGAGAGGGAGAGTTAGAGTCCTCGTGCCAAGTTTCAGTAAGAGTAAAAAAATCAGGTAAGGAGGAAGAGATTATTTGATGGATATAGAGCGATTTTTTATTAATTGATCTTATGTTATCTTAAGTGGCAACTGCAATGACGAAAGCATCAGATAGGTTAATGAAGGAAATGGAATCTGATGTGAGTTCGAGGAAAATGTTCAAAGTAGCAAAGCAGTCAATGAGGGATAGGAAAGATGTTATAGGGAATGGATGTGTTTGGGATGGATCTGGCAAATTGTGCATAGATGAGGAGGAAAAAGCTCAGGTGTGGAAAGCTCATATGGAAAGGTTGATGAATGAAGAGATTGAGTGGGATGGAGATGTGGAATCCGTGGTCACACACGGACCTATAGAGAAGGTGACGATGGAGGAAGTAGAGAAAGCAGTTAGAGAAATGAAACTAGGTAAGGCGACAGGGGTTTCGGAAGTGGCGGCTGAACATATTAAAGCGAGTGGGGTGATAGGAATTGAAGTTATGATGAGAATTGCTAACAGTATGTTTGATGATGAAGGTATACCTGAGGATTGGCGACACAGTGTGTTGGTGCCGTTGTATAAGGGCAAAGGAGATGTGAGAGATTGTGGGTCATACAGGGGTGTGAAATTACTAGAGCACGGAATGAAGGTAGTGGAGAGGGTGCTTGAGAGGAGGTTGAGAAGTATGGTGACAGTTAATGAAATGCAGTGTGGGTTTATGCCTGGTAGGGGAACGGTGGATGCGTTGTTCATGGCGAGAATGTTGCAGGAGAATTATAGAAAGAAGAAACGAAGATTGTACATGTGTTTTGTGGATCTAGAAAAGGCTTTTGATCGAGTACCGAGGAAGGTCATTGAATGGGCGTTGAGGAAGAAAGGAGTGAATGAGAGACTTGTTAAAGCTGTGATGCAGCTGTATGAAGGGGCAAAGACAAAGGTGAGGGTTGGAAGGGGAATGTCGGACGCTTTTAGTGTTAAGGTAGGAGTGCATCAAGGATCAGTGTTATCACCGTTTCTGTTTGCAATTGTGATGGATGTTGTGTGTGGAAACATAATGGAGGGGTTGTTATTTGAGATTTTGTATGCAGATGATTTAGTCTTGATGGCTGATAGCATGGA